AGAGAGAGAGAGAGGGAGAGGGGGGAGAGAGAGAGAGAGAGAGAGGAGAGAGAGAGGGAGGGAGAGAGAGAGATCATAGATAGATAGATAGATAGATAGATAGATAGATAGATAGATAGATAGATAGATAAATAGATAGATAGATAGATAGATCTGCAATATGGAGTAGTATCCAGGAGAGGAATGTGTTGGCCATTTGTTCCCCTCGGTGAGGACAGCCGTCACTGGAGCTGGGACCTGAAGATGGTTTTTGCACTTTCCGTCTACGGACATCCTGAGGACAGGTCCTCTTTATTATTCTTCTACACACAGGGCCAGTTTATGGCCTCCATTCCTTTCATTGTTCTCCTGACCTCCCATTTCATTTCCATGTCCCTCCTCAGCCTCCGTGTAACCCCGGTACACTTGATTGTGGCCTCCTACATCAAACAATATGGAGGACACCCCAACCAATTGACAGAAAGCACTCCTTGAAGTTTTACGGCCTCCTCTATTGTCCGGGAGGTCTGATGATCAAACCTCTGAGGGCTTTTTATGGCTTTATGACTTTTATCACCTCAGTTCTGGAGAGATCAAAGCTCGGCACTGACCGGGGGATGAAGGAAGAGAAAGTCTTGATAGCCTTGTGATATCTCCGGCACTTCCCAGTCATTTCCTCACCAGGGTGACGATGGCCTCCTTTGAAGTGTGTCAAGGTGCCTACAGCCATTGAGGAATGTTCATATGTCTGTCTGTAGGCCCCTCTGTGACCTTGGCTGGTAGTTCCTGGCCAAGCCTACTTGATAAACATGGGTGGGGGGGGGGGAGTCAATCAGCTAGATATTGATCCCAGCCAATCACTATTGTCTCTTCAGACTGCCCGCGTTATTGTTTGTCAGATGTTTTACTATATATGACGCAAACAAAACTCAACTCTCATAGTGCCGTGCCCCATTTGTAGGCCTAAACATGGAGAAGATTGCAGGAGAACCTAGCTCAAGCATAAAACTTCCGCACTGTCTTTCTTGGTGAGGTACCTTCCTGTAGCCACCCTGAGGCTGGGAATGTACCTGACAATTTCAGAGCTGAGCTTTCAATCACAGCCACCACCACCCAATAATTTCAGTAGTTCTCCAGCTCTCTTTGAGAGCACAGGGTGAGCTAGTCACAGCTAAGCCCGGTTGGTGGTGGAGATGGTCAGCCACATTGATTCTTCTCGGATAATTGCAATTGCTCCATCAGGATGTTCTATGTTACTAATTGCGTGGAGATCTACTTATAAGGAGAAATGTAAGCTAATCTCTCATAGTGCCCGTGCCCCATTTGCAGGCCAAGACTAGGAGAAGACTGCAGGAGAACCTAGTTCAAGCATAACACTTCAGGACTGTCCTTCATGGTGAGGCATCTTCCTGTAGCCGCCCTGAGGCTAGCAATCTACCTGACAATTTCAGAGCTGAGCTTTCAATCACAGCAACCACCACCCTACTATTTCAATAGTTTCCCCTCTGTCTATGAGAGCGCAGGGGGTACTATTCCCGGCCAAGGCTGGTTGGCGGTGGAGATGATTGGCCACATTGATTCTTCCCAGCTCATTGCAACTGCAGCATTAGAATGTTCTATGTTGCTAAGTGCCAGGAGATCCAATTATATGGAGAAATGTAAACTAAGCTCTCACAGTGCCCGTGCCCCATTTGCAGGCCAAGACTAGAAGACTGCAGGAGAACCTAGTTCAAGCATAACACTTCAGGGCTGTCCTTCATGGTGGGGCATCTTCCTGTAGCCACCCTGAGGCTAGGAATGTACTTGGCTATATTGTGGAGCTGAGCTTTCAATCGCAGCCACCACCAGCCCATAATTTCAGTAGTTTTCCCGCTGTCTATTACTATTCCCGACCAAGGTTGGGCGGTGGTGAAGATAGTCCGCCAGAAGGAATATTCCCAGCTAGTTCCAATTGTATCTCCGGAATGCTGCGTTCCTCTTTCTACGGAGAAATGTAAGCTAAGCTCTCATAGTGCCCGTATGCAGGCCGAGATAGGGAAAAAATCCATAACAAGACACCTCAAGCCTGTCGTGGCAGATCTGTCACTGCCTGTCCTCAGAGAGGTGTCTACCTATACCACCTTAATAATGGCCATAGAAGTATCTACCTAGGTCACCTTAATGATGGCCATAGAAGTATCTACCTAGGTCACCTTAATGATGGCCATAGAAGCGTCTACCAAGGTCACCTTAATGATGGCCATAGAAGCGTCTACCTAGGTCACCTTAATGATGACCATAGAAGCGTCTACATAGGTCACCTTAATGATGGCCATAGAAGCGTCTACCTAGGTCACCTTAATGATGACCATAGAAGCGTCTACGTAGGTCACCTTAATGATGGCCATAGAAGTGTCTACCTAGGTCACCTTAATGATGGCCATAGAAGCGTCTACCTAGGTCACCTTAATGATGGCCATAGAAGCGTCTACCTAGGTCACCTTAATGATGGCCATAGAAGCGTCTACCTAGGTCACCTTAATGATGGCCATAGAAGCGTCTACCTAGGTCACCTTAATGATGGCCATAGAAGCGTCTACCTAGGTCACCTTAATGATGGCCATAGAAGCGTCTACCTAGGTCACCTTAATGATGGCCATAGAAGCGTCTATCTAGGTCACCTTAATGATGGCCATAGAAGCGTCTACCTAGGTCACCTTAATCATGGCCATAGAAGTATCTACCTAGGTCACCTTAATGATGACCACAGAAGCGTCTACCTAGGTCACCTTCATGAAGGCCATAGAGGTGTCTACCTAGACCACGTTAATGATGAACATAGAAGTATCTGCCTAGACCTCCTTAAGGACTACCTACTACTATCACTACCACTGTCCTCCCAGTGGGCAACTCTTGAGTTGGCCCATTGGGTCTACGTTTCTGGAAGGCCTGAGCCTGAAAGCTGTAGAAGGTTCTGTTGGCACCCTGTTCCCAGGTCATGGTCCTCCTGTAGGCCTCGGGATGGAGGGACAAGGGTCAGAGCAGGCCACCGGTGAGAGGAGAGGACTCTGATTTGATGATTTGGTGGTGTATAAAGCCGGGGAGGGGCAGGGACGGAATGTTTGCCAGCCAAACCCCGGAACAAACAAGGCCTCTCATTCTCTATTCATCACAGACAAGAAGAAGATGACAGCTCCCCCCCCCCCATTCATCCCGGATCACGATCCTCTCCCTTACAGACGTGACCTCCTTTCCTGTCCCCGAGAAGTCATATGTCTGCTGGAACCTCGTGCCTCCTGGGAGGGGAGAGACCTCACAAGACACACCAGGCGCCCCATTGTAGCCGCGCTAATCACATCTCCTCCGTGTGCCGAGAACTCCACAATTCCCCTATTGTCCTTCCAAGAAAACCCGAAGAAAATCTATCTATCTATCTATCCATCCATCCATCCATCCATCCATCTATCTATCTATCTATCTATCTATCTGAGATATCCGGAGATTTTCCTCTGAGGTCACGCTGGAGGCTGACAGGAGGAATGCCGGTGCAGGTTGGTGCCATCATCACCTCTCACCGCGTGTCACCATCACCTCGCCCCCTGCACGCCATCTGAGAGTGAAACGCTCCGCTTGGCTGAGAAGACTCGACGCCGTCTCTTCATCGCCACGTCAGGGCCGAGTGTCTTCATGTAAAGCTCAACTCCAGCCAACAGCCCCTGTACAGCAGAGCTCAGACTGGGGGGGGGAGGGGGAAGCAGTACAAGGAGCCAGTCAGTTGTGCTGCAGTGCTCACGTGCTAACAAGGAGCATGCTGATAGGAGGAGAGAGCAAAGTGACGGAGCGATGAGCCGATCAGCGAACCTGGCGCTTCGCCCAGCACATCCTCCTCTTGTCACATGACTCCCTTTTCAGAATATTAAAGAGGGCTCAGACCCGAGAACACTTCGCCGGGTGCACACTTAGACTTGGGGCCGGTCTAAAAAAGTTAATGGAGCCAGGACTGAAATGATCGGATGGACTCTTCTCCCCGGAGTCCTATTAAAATGAAAAACATTTGTGTTTGACGGAGTGTTCCTTTAAGTCCTTGGGGGAGGGGACCAGGAAGAGTCTAATTGCCGGCAGCTGGGGGGAGGTCACCGGAATGCGCCCGTCATGGTAAACGGTGTAGGATTCCCTCAGCCTGATGACAGAAGAGCCGGTGACACATGGGAATGGAACGCGGCTGTCTGCGTCGTCCCGACTCCACCGCCAAACGGCCGGCCACATGACATTCCGTGACCCCCCCCTCAAGCGCCGATCACCCCAGCTAAGGTCCCCCCGGGGGGCCACACATGATCCATTGTCTGTTGTCATGAATGGAACCATTCACACCAGCCTCCGTCCGCCCCAAGGAGCTTACAATCTAATGTCCCCACCATCCCCACACATACACTAAGGCACCCACAAACCTCCAGAACATGGACCTTCCCCTGGTGGGTGGACGTAGTCATGGCCCCATCATGAGGCCCTGGAGGTGAGGTCCTCCAATGGGGACAACTGTCATTCTTTGATCTTCTCACACTTCCTGTCTTGCCTATAATGTTCCACCGGCATTGGCCCAACCGGCTCATGTTCCTCCTCCCTTTGCCCTTCCAGGAGTCAACGTGATGCTCAGGAAGATTGCGGTAGCCGCCGCCTCGAAACCGGCGGTGGAGATCAAGCAGGAGGACGAGACGTTCTACATCAAGACCTCCACCACCGTCCGGACCACCGAAATCAACTTCAAGATCGGGGAGGAGTTCGAGGAACAGACGGTAGACGGTCGTCCGTGCAAGGTAAGGAACGGCACGAGGACTGAATGAGTACGCGGGAGGCCATGAGAGTTTGTTGACCATCAATGTGCGTCTATGGCACTGAAGGAGGCCTCCTCTCCCCCTCAGAGGTGACCCATATCGGTCAATTCTCCGTCCTCCCCTTCAGTCTTCTATCTGACCTCCGCCCTCCCCTTCAGTCTTCTATCTGACCTCTGTCCTCCCCTTCAGTCTTCTATCTGACCTCCGCCCTCCCCTTCAGTCTTGCACGGTTGTCCCGGCTCCTCTGATGTCACTGCACACTGGGAGCTTCTCACAATGTGAATTGGAAGCTGCGGCAAGTCACATAGAGCTCCGCCTCCTTTCCTGGCTGGAGGACGCCCAGCTCTTTCCCGTCCCTGGCCCCGCCCCTTTCATCCATCGAGCTTCAGTTCTGTCAATCACGGAGGTGTGTTGAATTTAACAAAAAATAGTTGGAAACCAAAATTTCCAACAATTTTAGTTTTTTTCCCCAAAGACAAGTCGTTTTTTTTTTTTTTTTATGGCCGACCGCATGCGACTTATTCCCGGCGTTTCCGGTATTTTTTCCCGCCTGCGAGTGTCGGAATCCTGCCCATAAAACAACGGCTCGGGAGCGCCGGGGCGCAGGTGCTGGAACACACAGCGCTCATTGTTTTCCGCCAAAAAGAGAAAGAAATATATAAAAAAAGAAAAGGAAGAATTGTTGTTTTAGGGAGAGAATTCTTCTGCTCCCCCCACCACATTACTCCATCACCCCCCGAAGCCAATT